GCTGCCCAGAGCCGCCCAGCCCGCCTTCTCACAGCCTCTTCCCGTCCTTGACTCCCCTTCCACCGGGCACCGCAGCGCTGCAGGGCGAGACGGAGCTGCTGGCCCGGTAAAGCCTTCCCCCACTCTTCACAAGCCATCCCAGCCCTCCGATCGCTACTGACAGCACCGGCCCCGCCGCGGCTCGCACTCTTCAGGGTGACAGGGTCCTGGAATGTGGTACTGTTGTGCAACGCCATGAGAAACGTCTCGTTCTGGAAGGTCGTGGCATTGCATCACTGAGGAATAGCTCTGTGGTAAGATTGCCCAGGCTGACGTGCGGAGTGATCGTAGTTGGAGCAGAAACAATTTGTTGCATGTTTGGGGAGGGGAAAAAAAAGATGTTTCTTTTCATCTTAATGGCTAACTGGCTCTTATCTCCATTTCTTTCACTTCTATCTTTGTTGTGCTTCTGTTTTTTGTGATTCTCATGTCTACAGCAAACATTGTGGCTAGACCAGACTTACTCCAGTTTTTATGTCAAGTAACAAGAACTCGGACTGTACGATCAGTTCACAGCGGCTCTTCACCATTGCCCCTGCAGAGCACATGTACCACATCAGGAGTGAGTACAGCTCTTCTGGAGGGTGGGAGCCCAGCACACTGGACATCAGCGTGTCCACAGCAGGCCACATGCCTGAACGGGGATCATCCCATCAGCAGCTCCCCCTTCCTTGAGCCTCGAAGCCAACAAATAGGTCAATATAAATATCTTCATTAAGCTGTGCGCATAGGAGACACAGCAGGACCATTGTGCAGAAGGGAAAGATTCCCTTCTTTTTCCCCACACTCTCCCAGAGGGCCTGAAAGCACCAAAGGAGCCTTTGAAAAGAGTATGGAAAGACAAAGGGAGTCACCACAGAGGCCTAGAATGTTCTTTCTCCCAGTTTCACACGATGATTGGTCTGGCTGTGAAAGCAAGCTGTACAGTACATTGAAGTGGGTGTGCCAGCCATTACTGCCTGTCATTAATTTATTTCAGGATTCCCTCAGCTCTCCTGTCTCACACAACACCGAGCCAAAGTAATTTACAGCCCTGTGATCTTCGGTTCAGGATTTAGTTCAGGGAAGTGATCGAAACGGTCTCTCTTTCCAAGTACAGAGATTGTGTTGGGAAAACAGGCCAGTGTTATAGCATAAAGGGTAGAGAGAAGATGGAAACATCAGGGGAGAAAAACAGGGAGGGGAGATTAAAACATATTCGTTTTAGCCTCCTAGAGTGTCGTTTTGGATTTTGAGATGTTTTAATACTAAGAGTGAGGACAGCCGGGGGGAATTACAATCCCTGTTATTGATCTTTTTGGGTTTTGTTTACCGGAAAAGGCCTCATGCTGCCGTGTACAGTGTCCGTGGCAACAGCCCACACACTCTTTAAACAGGGAAGCGTGGAAGCAGGCAAACTTCCTGCGTCATCACAGCCTGAGAAAAAACTTCTTGTAATCCTTGTAATTATTGCTGTGGCATAATCTGTACCTTCCTCTGCAATTTAGAGAGAATAAATCCATTTTTTGTTGTTGACGCAGAAGCAGGTAAAAAAATTTGTGGAGCTGTGAAGAACAGTCTTTAGCCACAGCTTTTTTTTTTTAACAAAAGAATGTGTTCTGTCTTGGGAGAAAAAAAAAAGATTGTCCGTTTAGAAATTTAGAAGAACCTTTCATTTTAACTACCAATATATAATCAGCCGTCTCTTTGTTTAGCATTTGTCCCTGCAGTTGTGTTTTTTGAAAACCACTACAACTCATTTTAGGGGTGCCCAGAGGGTTAGTAAAAGTAAGAAACCAGATGTTAAGTTTTTTTTTTAACAGGAAAAATATTGCCTGTGACGTCAGTAATATAAAGTGTGCTGAACTAATTGAATATTGGAAATATTTTATACCGTCCAGGTTTTCTGTTCATCTTTGCATTCTTTATCTGCTTAAGACGAGAGTTCCCCAGCAGCCGAACAGCAGGGACTTGTGTTCCCTGGACTGTCTGCTCTTCCCTGGGCGAGGGGCTCTCTCCCACTGTGACTCTGCTGACAGATGTTACTGTACACCTGGGGGCTCTCCTCCACGCCCCTGTGTTACTAGTTGAGCACAGGTATTTGGGGCACCAGCTGCCGGCACATGTGGGGGCAGAATGGAGGTATGTAGCGCTGGGGCTCAAACAGTGCCCCAGGGGAACCGCATTACGCCAAGGGAGAAAAGTCACTTAGGTGGTGACGAACGAGTGCAGTGAGGGGAACGATGGGGAGGACTGTGATCTGCCCTGGGTTCGTTACCGATGAGCGTGCCATCTGCTTCTCTTGCAGAGAGGAGGTGCAGGAGAACTGCGTTCGCTGGAAGAAGAAGTTCTCCTTCGTGTGCAAAATGAGCGCCAACTCCACCACAGGCGTCCTGGACCCCTGCATCTGCCGAGTGTCTGTCCGCAAGGTGAGGCACTCGAACCCGGGCTCGCTGGGACCAGTGGTGTGAGGCCTGGTCAGCGGGCTGGTTTCTCGCCCTGCTGACGCTGCTAGTGATCATGTAGAAGCTTATGATCCACCTGGCTGTGGACCAGTGGTTGTAAAAACTGCTCCGCTGTGGACTCGCCTCACTCTGCTGCTGGTGGGAGAAGCAGCACATCTCTCGCTGATGTCACTACAAGGTCACAGGGGTCAGGGTTTGCCAGAAGCCCTGCTGGCGCTCTGCCACGTGTGCGCCATGAACTCGGTAGAATAGTGAGATGGCACGGACCTGGTAAAGGACATGATTAAGTTCTGGCTACCAGAAACCTGCCAACACTAAAGTAGAACACGCCTTGTCCTGAAGGGTAGGATTGACTGCTTTTCCATTGCAGTCTGCTATGAAAGTTGCACATGATGGTCAACTCCATTACTGGTACTTAATTGATTTTTGCTGACGACTCATTCAACTGAACGACTGGAGAGATGTTTTTAGGAGATTGGACTATATGGTCAAAGAGAAATTGATTCTTGTTTTATGTACAGCCCCATCTCCATGCCAGGAATAGAATTAGCACACAGTAGAAAATAACATGACCCAGCAGAAAGACGTGATGATGGTGGTTTTACATGCTGTCGAGACTGTAAGTCCAGGTCACAAAGCATACCAGATGGGCAGCTCATCTTCTGAAACTGCAGCTGTCATGGTACAGTATTCAATACGCGCTGGATAAAGGGCTTCTTATCGCACGGCTTTGGAATTAAAGTTGCTTTATGGCAAACTAAACCTTTTTATGAATATATCTTCAAAGGCAAGGGTGTGAAGAGGTCTCACACCTTTATTTTTGGCATCCTGAAAAAGATAATTCTGTTTAAGACCTCTACACCTGTAATATATCATTAACAACCACATATTGCCTGTAATCACAATGCAACCAAAGCCAATAAGGATGTTTATTTGTACTTTAAGATTCCTAATTTTTCTGTTAACCTTATGAATGCAGGAGAGGTCATAATTTTACCTTTGAAAATTTTGAGAGTATTATTAACATTTTTCGTTTTATATAATCCAACTTGCTTGTTTTTGCATCCACTATTAACTATATTCTTTTGTACTTGTGAAACAGTTACTGTTGTATACAATTATAAATGCGAGGGCAGTGTAGTATGGTTTGGTGAAATTGCGGTTAACAGGGAAAATAAACTCTTACATAGTACAATGGCAAGAACAATGATCAATATAAGCATGGTAGAGAATTGCTGTAAAATATATTCTGCACAATTCGACTTCAATAAACTTTTCTAATGGGACAGTGGAAACAGTCATTTCTAATGTTAAGCACTGTAAGAACGTGTAAGAGATTTATTCCCTCTTCCTGTTTTTGTTGCAGGAACTGAAAGGAGGAAAGACGTTCTCTAAGGTAAGAGTCCAGCCTTGATCCCGCCTCTCTCACCCCTCTCTCACCCGTGGCAGGGCGCTGGTGTGAAACGCTGTTTGTTCCTGCCGGACGCCGGACGCGCAGTTTGAGTCCGATATTACACAACACAGGAGGCAGGGATGTACAGAGGTCTGTGGCAAGGAAGAGGAGATTTTTCCATCGTTAGGGAAGAAGCATGGCTACGCACGAATGTTTTTGTTTTCCCACGCTGGAACACGAATTTCCTTAGTCATGTAAAATATCATCCATCTGCTTGACATTATTCTGTTTTCTGCAGCTTTTTTTATCTTGGGCTTCAAGTTACATGATTTCAGGGAAAGAAGAAGGAATTATATTATATTATATTGTCCTTTTACATCACTTGTACTGTAGACCCCAAATAAGACACATTTTTGTGCAAAGTGCTTTGAATCCTATGTTTTGAATAAACTA